GTTCAGTGTTTCTTTAACCTCAGCTTCATCTTGGCTACAACAAGGCGGTTATCCAAATCTATGTCAGCTCCTTTCTCTGTTTTCACATTTCCGATGGACATTCTGAAAGTTCCACTGATGCAAATGTGATTGACCTGATATTCGTTAGTGTGGTCCAGAAAGATTCAAGTGGCATTTAGCATGTGTCTGTGAGGAAAACCTCTTTGTTGAAGACACATAAATTGCATATCTCTCATCAGTTTCGTTTCTTTCTCTCAGGGCATACCACCTTGTGATTTAATTATGTCCAGTTGTTTCCATCTCAACTTTGTTATTCAGGCCTCCTATCAATATAGTTAAGTCACCTCCTAACTATCTCTCTATGGGAGAATACAGCCCCTTATAAAACTGATCTTTATCATATTCACTGCTTTCAGTTAATAGAACACAGCACCGAATGGTATTAATTGTAACCCACTCTTTCTTTCATGCTTAGAATGCTCGGATGATGCTGGGTCCATGAAATTCCTATCCTGTAGGTATTTTCGTGGTTCTTTGGGCAGCAATATTACACCTCCTTGTGTGTGCGAGTCTATTTCTTTTTTACAATCGTTTTTGCCTAGCTTGTATCCAAAGGAGCCCGACTGTTTCAATAGTTCCTAGACTATATCATCTCGTTTCCGCAGGTGCTTGAATGATCATCACAACCTCCTACATTATGGTGATATTCCATGCACTGTTGCTCAAGTTCTTAGAAAGGATATAGGTTTCGTGAATTTCAAAGAATCCCAACTTTCTCCACTAGGCATCACAACTCTTTTTAATGAAAAAAGTTCCATTGTGATGGTGTATTTGAAATGGCTAAATAATTTCTCTTGGTTACGATTACGTTGACTGTAGAATAATGCAGTGAGTAAATTATTATTATTATCATTATTATTATTGGCTTTATTCAATATTATATAATTTGGTACGAAATCGAATTCTCAGCATAAAGTATTTCAACAAGCGTCCGTTTCTTATTTCTTCTTTACTCCTGACGATAAGTATTTAGCGATCGCCAGTTAGATGTCAGCAGTTCAATCAATCAACATATGGATAATGTATATTCTTTTCGCTGTATGTTCCCACACGACATCTCTGATTAGACCTTTTGTAACCTTTAAAGCGAAAGGTTGTACAGTTTTCAGAAACGCACCTGAATAGTTTGTGTGATTAATAGCCATAAGGATGTATTAAAGCAAATAATATTAGATAACTTGTTGAAATATATAGATGACAGGAACAGGTAGCCCATCCAATAGTAAAGTTCAAGACTCATCAATTATCATAAGCATTACACATTCTCTTTAAAATTTGCAAGCTCACACTGATGATACACAGAAATGTATACATTGATTAAATTATTCATTTGAGGCATCAAAGACATATTTCTCTTTCCTGAGACATATATTTTCCCATAGAACTCATATCAAGTGAATAATGATGGATTGTGTTATGTATTGGTAAGTAGTAAATAATCTCAACATCACCATAGTTACATCATCCTCAAAGTTTCTTGTCTTTTATAAACAACCAGAAACATGGAGTGATATTCTTTCTATGGAATGAACAATAGCAATAGGAATCCAAACGAACTTCACGTTCAGTGGTTCATTGAGATATTTCTTGAAACTGATGTGTCATTAACTATCCCATTAATTACGTAATTGAGCTCGTGGAATAATCGAACGATTACTCAAATTCAAATGTTCCCATATCTACAGTTTAAGCATGTAATAGTCAGTGGAGTGGTTACAAGTAATTTCGTTATTTAAGCCCACTGGTAATTCCATTAAATATAGAGAAGTTACAAGATTACAACGCATCACAATGAGTGCTAATGAGTACACCATCACAATTCACTTGGTAGTGCAGTGTTAAGTAGAATTTAAACACGAGTTCATCTAAGGTCTGTTACTTATTTACTCTGTAGAAGTGGCAAACATTAGGTCACGAATCGTCAGAAATGCAATTCTCCTACTCATTCAGATATAACAAATAGTATAATTCATTGTCAATTCACTACATAATGCTCAATTTATTTGGAACTATGAAGGTCAACCTTGTTATTGATACCTAATAACTAAGCAAGTTCCATATTCTCTTTTATCGCTTTCCCTTACATAATTCAGTAACGTCAACTATTATAAAATCTTTATCATTATTAGAAGTAGTGAAAGTGACTGTAATGTAATAGTAATTCTCACATCTATTCAATACATAATCGATTGATCATGAAGTAACCACAACTCATTCAAATAAGCGAGAATGCCGTTTGCATACAAGAATATATTGTATCCAATTTACAATCTTGAATGGATTAATGTAAATGTCACCCATCAGTCTGCACAGAAATCAGGGACTCTCACTGGAACAATAAATCTTTCTGCTTTATCTCTATAACTCTAGCTGTTTCTTCTCATAATGGAAGACAATTAACCCAAAGACTGAATTCACTTTCAAATTACTTCATTATTCGACATTTTATTGATTTGGTGATTTTTATTAGTTGAACAGTGGATTTAAGTCGTAGTGATTAATACCATGATTCACTGAAGGGAGATGTCATTTGTTTAACTTTCTGAAGCCTTTCAACAAATTTTGTAAACGAAACTATCAATACATATTACAGAAGCACATGATAGATTCCACAAGTATTTCAACGGATTAGTCACACCTATCTGTATAAATTAAACCGTTCGGTCCATTCTCATTTATAGATTTTATTATTGATTCTCTCAAACTGTTGAATATCGGATCAGAATAATAAAGGTTAGGCGCATTCCACAAAATCTGATATTCAAATGTCTAATCAGCAGTGAGATCCTCGATGTACACCATTGAGGAGTCTTATTGTTGAAAAAATCAGCGGTTTAACGCTCTCTAGTTTCGAGTGGATTTTTAATTCAGGTCAGTGCGTAGTATAAAGTGTAAGAAAATAACAATAGCCGTCCTTAATTTACTTTAATTAAATCATGTAATAATATTTTCCTTTATCTGAAACCCTAATCATTCACCTACTTGTGTGCGTGTTTGTGACACTAGTAACCGCATGTTAGTTTTGTTCAATTACCATTAAGGTTATTTATTAATCCTGTCATGAATTATTGTTTCACACGTCCACGCTATCTAATCCTCTGACCTTCGTATTCCACTCAAAACAGCCATTATAAATCTGATCGTATACATGATAAGTTGATTGAATGATACTCGTATTCTCAATGTAAAATAGAAGTATAAAAGTAGACATTTATGTGATCGGTTGAAGAGGCGAAATATTCTAATCTTGAGGTAGGTTATTCAAATTTTCAGTGTTTGGTTAGCCTTATGTGATTCACAAATCGTATAATCTCTGTAAACAACCTGCTCACTAGTATTCAATGTAGTTCTTTACTCGGAGGAGAAGATGATTGTGCAAAACTGACAATAGACCGAACATAGAAATGTGAGGTGTCAGAGGCCAACCTCATGGTCACAGTTTCAGGGACTCGACATGATGCTTGACATGATCATACTTGAACACTATTCTGAAGTTTCATACTAAGACGACTAGTATTATCCACTAATCCCCAATCTCTCACAGTTGTTTAACTGAATTAAATATTTGACGATACGTTACAAGTTGAACAATATCTAAATTTATGTAACACATGTATTAGTAGATATACTTCAGTAATAATGATGATAGTCTATCAGTGTGATTCTCAGCAATACACTTAATGTATTACGTGTCAGTATTCGCCTCATAACGCAGAAACTTCATGTATCCGACCATGTGAAAATGGCCAACAAAATAGTTCAGTAATGCAAATGGTATGAACGTTGATTCTGTCAACTGATATATATGGGAATTAGGATGAATATTGAATATATTATCTGAATTGAGTTATGGAAACATTAGAAAATTTAGTTGTCTAGTACTTGATCAATGGATCAGTAGTTTCTAGTCGATATCGATGTGCAGAATGGTAGATAATAGTTAACGTGTAGTGCTTTAACGAGGAGAGAAGTTTAGCGATATTGCACGCTGCAACAATGAATGGAAATTGCATGACCCAGTCATGCAGGCTTGGTCACCGTTCAAAACTCGTTGCTTATGTTTTCATCAAATATATTGTTCTCATCCCAGCTCAATAGCGGTATTCAGAAATGGCAGACTTCATATTGCTGAGAATCACGATCAGATGAGTCAGTGTTGACAATGAAGAGACGTCCACGTAACATCAAACGGATTAGGTAGTCATGTCTTGACAAACCAACAATTCTGGAATTAGGTTTAATACTATCGATGTACTGATACTGAAAATTTCGATCTGGTCCGAAACAAATCTCTTGTCACATGACGAACTCCGTCAACCGAATTGCTTCATTTCTCACTTGCTACCGATTTTCTTGAAGTTTAGATCACACAAACAGAAATCATATTGGAGTAAGAAAGAATACAAGATGTGAATGAATTCCAAAGATTATTTAACAGAATAGGACATGCGAACTCACAACAGTCATAGAACTAACATTTACTAGCTTTACATATACAGTTTCAATGCTTATTCAATAATAGTAGACAGTTGGTTTGAGTTTGTGTGCTCTGATGTAGTTTATTTCGATTGAACCTGGACTGAATTCCTTTTTTGGAGCATTGTGACCATCATATGCTTGTATACCGATACGAGACGCTTGATTTAATAATGAATGCAGTGAATCAGAATACTGTGCTCCCCGAAACTTTGCTTTAAATGTATGAAATGATAATTCTATTTGTTGTCGTCCTCCAGATATCTATAATGGTTTCATAGAAAACAGATTGTAATTATTCTACATATTTGAATATCACATTACCTGGAAAAACGTTTCGTATGATTGACATTCGAATGTTTCTGAACATTTGCCATCGATGGTGAATTTGAATTTAGAATTTTTACTGTTTCCATTTACATCAATCAAAAAGTCGGTAAACTCGTACAAATCCCAAGTATCCACTATGTATTTGACACCAGAGGAACCAAATCTATCTCGTTTTCTTTTGAGTGGATAGAAGAAGATTGATGATTGATTATTCTAAATATATTTTCCGTTTTCATTCGATGTGAATGAAACTTACATACATGTTGTACAAGTGTGGCATCAGATCGTTCTTCAACTCGAACTGTTTCTGATATTTCATACCATTCACCACGTTTATTCTGAGAATCCGTGAAATTAAACAACACCGGACCAGTCGATTGATTTATTTGATTTATAGACTTTATTACTGGTTGTTTATTTGCATAGAATGTTGTTATTCCAATAGTAAGTGGAGCTGTTAGATTTGTGTTCATATGAGCAGCATTTGAAGCGTGAAGTGAAAGAATGAAAAACGTGGTTGCAAGAAGACTGTTAATATTCATGATGTTGGACAAAGTAAATTGACTAATCTTTCAATCTACTGTTGATTGTATAGTGAATGTTTATCTGAAAGAAGAAAGAACACTATTGTACTTCAAATTGAAACACTATTGTACTTCAAATTAAAATCAGATCTTCATATCAATTGACTTATATTACCGTAAGACATGCTGTGGAGACTGTAGGACTTCATAGTTTACATCACTATCTAAATATATCAATGAATTATCTAATTTTGTTTGTTTCACTACATCAATATGACTATCATTCGCATAAACCATTCATATGTCATTCTGAAAGGTGTATAAATTACAAAGGCTCAATCAAAAATATCGTGGTCGCTGGTAATGTGCAGCGATAAGAATTTACATTATTTGGATGACGATTGGCTGGACTGGTAAGTTCTAGCTGGCGATCACTTGTTGAAATACATTGTGCTGAGAATTCAATATTGTACTAAAAATATAGTGTTGGATAAGGCTTTTGATAATAATGATAATCCCAACATGGTGTTAGTTGAATTAGGTCTACAAATAAAATTTACACATGCATTATGTGATACGAGTGTAGCTATAGATCACCCTTAACTCGGAATGTATCTGACATTTCAATTCATACATCATATGCAGTTGTTCCAGGATCAATGAAATGGAAAAGAGTTTAGCTGACTAAATCATCTAGCTGCATGAGAGTGGCTCGTGTTGAATCTTCATTGAAACTAGATGTCATTAAAATATCGCTTGTGGACAACGATTGTGTGTCACCAGTTTTTGATGAGTTTCTTTCTACAGTGTTGTAAATGCTGGACACCAAAGTTGTAAATAATAAAATAACAGATTTCATTCTAAGGTGAAACAGTCCAAAATTCAATCGAACTATTTTAATGTGAGGTAGAGTAGAATTGCAATTAAAATGCACTTAAAAATGTTGTAATCAGTATAACATGAGATGGTCGCGCCATAATTTGTTTTAATTACACTTATACATTGACAACTTTGAGTATCGGATCAGTTGTCTACAGATGAGGCGTTCGAGGACGATCGATGTTACTGGGTTCGAGTTCGATGTGTAGGATCGTGTATGGGCATTGCTGAGGAGTCCAGTACAGGACGGAACGGCTTCCAGATTCTTCCACATTTTCAATGTTTGTTCGACTTTGATCGGCTCATCATTTCAATATGTAGGAATTGACGTACATCAAAGATTTATTTTCTTATCCCTGTGCATGTATTCTTAAGTTTGCCGAAACTCGAGAAATGCACAATTTCAAGAATATGCTTTACGAATGTAAAGACAGTGTTTCTTAGTACTGTACATTTCATGTCAGTGTTTCTAGTTGCCACGATAAATGCATTCTGATGTTAATTGTTTTGAGTGAATCGGTGTTGAATGCAGCTCACCCAAGGTTTCGCGCAACTTGACAATCCTCAAAAAGGCTTACCTGCAGGAGAACTAGTGAACTGATGCGGATCCGAATTTCAACCACAAGTCTCCCAGTTGAATATGTCACCACTGATCGATTTGGGTAGTAACTAGTTCCCCAAATGACGGAGATAATCACACACATACATCATTCAGTAGAAACAAACTTAATGTTCGTTTAGTCCTGAATGCTGATTCTACACTATAACCCTTCACATAATAAACATTTTGGCTAACAGGAACAAATATCACATCTTCGACTTTCCTCCTATCACATTGATAACTTTGGAATAATCTCGTAAACTTTATTGACAACCGTAGACAAACAATCCAATCAGCTCACTTTTATGTTGACTTTATCTGCACCAACAGTAGTGTATATATATAATGATTAATAGAAACCTAAATGAAGTTATTTGGTCACATCTATGTGAGAAATTTCATACTTAATTATTATTGCCAGCCTTTGATATGTATTGAAATAACTAACCAACCCTGGAGGAATTCACTCAATTGATTTTTATAACCAGATCTTACTTGGATTGCGTGAAACAAATGGGAGCAATGGGATAGTGAAAACGGTACTCAGTACCAAATACTGTCATCTGAATCGTCAGTATTTCGATAAATCTGTAGAATTACGGTCTAGTCCGACATTAGTACCACGATAGCAATCAAAATCAATCCCAACATTGTCGATTTGTCATGACGTGACTACCTAATCTTTATGGTTTTACGTGGAAGTCTCTACATCGTTGAATGAGCGACCATTGCGATTTCGATTCAATGTTGCCGCGTACACTAATACTGAGCTTCAATTTCAAATTGCTAATGAAACATTATTTGAATGACAAACCTTTAAATTACTTACCTTCACAGCAGAATATTTCGTCTTTTCAACAGATCACTTACACGTTTGCTTTTATACTTTGATTTTACAATACGATTGTGAGTTTCATCCAATCATGTGATCATGAATACGATCGGATTCATAATGGCTGTTGAGAGTGGAATAAGAACATCAGCGGATTACATAGAGTGGACGTGTGAATTATTAATGCATGACAGAATTAAGAAATAATACCAATGGTAAGCTTAATAAAACGTAAATGTGTTTACTAGGTGCACAAACGAGTTGATGAATGATTAGTTGTCAGATAATTGGTAATATTAAGTTGTGATTTAATTAAAATATAACAACGACAGCAATTGTTACCTTCTTATCTTTTACATCTTAGTCTAATCTGAAGTAAATATCCACCCAATCGTTCACCTTCTTGATTTAATGTAAGAAAACAGTAACAAATAAGAAATATGGAATTGGAATAGTTGTTAGATATCAATACCAAAGTTGGCATTTAAAGTTTCACATAAAATGACTATTATGTAGAGAGTTTATAATAACTAATAGTATTTGTTATATTTTGAAGAGTATGAGAGTCGCATTTCTGACGATTCATGACTAACTGTAAGCGACTTCTTCAGAGTAAATAAATAACCGACCTTTTCTTGAACTTAAGATCATACAAATAGGGAATTATATTGAAGTAGGAAAGAATGAAACTTATGCAAGAATTCCAATGATTTTTTGACAGAATCGTTCATTCAAACTCAAAATATTTATACGACTAACATTTACTAGCTTTACAAAAAGAATTTCAACTTCAATACACTAATAGAAGCCTGTTGTGCCGAGTTTGAGTACTTTGATGTAGTATAATTTGACTGAACATGGACCAAATTGCTTTACCACAGCGTTGTGATCACCATTTGCTTGTATACCTAAACGAGATACGTGAGTTAAATCTGAAAGCGTTGAATCAGTTTTCAGTTTTGCCCGAAAGTATGCTTTAAATGTACGAAATTATGTCTCTTGAGTTCTGACAGAAAACGCATTCGATTATTTCACATATTTGAATAATATATTATCTTGAACAACGACTCATATGATTAACGAGCTAGTGTATCCGAACATTTGCCGCAGAAGATCAACTTGATATACGATATTTGACTCTATCTATGTAGATCAGTTACAAAATCTGCATATTCTGACAGATGCCATATATCCAATATGTGGTCGACACAGTTGTTCTATTTCCAGCTAATAGAATTCACATATACATAAACTGACTACTGTGTCATACTCATTTCATTATTTTCACGATTCCAGTGCTTTTTAGGTCTTAATAATTAAATATTTTATACAGTTGAAATCATGAGTCGACTGGAGCTAGATCATCATTATCAGAAAGGGGAATTTGTGTAGATTTTGGTAGTTTTATTGGGATCAGCAATGTTCCGGACATGCTTGGTCTCCTAAATGAACTCGATGTAGAGACGAAGCTCTTAACTGTTAAGTGAATGAATAAAGGTCATTCATCGAAGATCATAAACCGCTGGAAGAGCTGAAAAAAGATTAGACCTATGACGCTTCTGTGACCCAATCAGTGAGTTTATATTATGTTACCACATATGAGTGACTCAAATAATGTCATGTTGAAGGGCAAACTGAAATTATCCATCAGGAGTTCATTTTATGCAGCTCAATTTGTCATTATTGAAAAGACAAGGTCTGCGTTTCACCAAAAAACCCAAACAGCACATAAGCGATTGTGTCTCATCCCATTGTGTCTATCACTTTACATGTATGTGTGGAAACACGTACAGAGAGAGGATCAATCGTGATCTGCAATTAAGGGTGGCTTCAATCTATCCGCAACCCAGGGTGGATTACCGAAAGACTTAAAGAATGCTATGGTAAGTCCTATCTTCAAAATAGTTATGAGACATAAGCCTGAGACCCATTGATCTGTAGGCCTAACCAGCGTGGTTGTTGAAACTTTAGAAAAGATTCTTCTGAAGCAGTTGTTTAACTAGCTTGAATAAAACCGAATTCTTTTTGAAATAACAGGTTAATCCTGTCTCACAGACTATTCAGTAGCTCACCAAGGTTGATGCACTCTTAAATATCAAAATTTGTTCAGAGATTCAGCCCACATTGACTACAGCAAATCCTTCGACAAAGTGCTCCACAACCGTCTGTCAAATAAGTTGAGTAATATTGGGGTTGGAGACAACCAATTATTGTGGTGAAAGGACGTTCTAGTTGTGTGCCAACAATGAGTATGGGTCAAGTGAAATTTGTCTAGCTGGGAAACTGTGATGTGCGAGGTGCCTTAGAAAACAGTTTTGGGACCTGTGTTTTACCCAATGTATGTAAATAACCTTTTCAGTCTCTCAGCATCGTTGGTCTTGTTATATGCTGACGAAGTCAAGATGTGGAACGCCATTAAAAGAAGGTCATTGTTTAGAGATCGAAGATGAACTTGAAAAATTATCCGACTGATTTGTCGGTGAGACTTTGATTCTTGGACGACCCTTGAGCAAAACCTCAGTGGCCTTGAGAATGTCCATCTAATAACTGAGGCTAAATCATGTCAATAAAGGGGATATTGAATGCATAATATGATTGCAGTGTTGTCAAAACTATTTCATTTAGTGAATCAATAAATACAGTGTCATTACAAATATTGAGAAATGCGGTGATTTGTGTCCCATCATTAGTACTCAACGTTGAAGATAATCATCTTAACTATAGGTAACTAAGTCAATGTGAGCAATGTCATGCACAAAATAGTACGTAATATTGACCACATTTTCAGTGACAGATATCATTTTACGATTTGTTAGTGGAAAGATGCAAAGTATGAATTTCTTGTCATATATATTTAAAGTCAGGACAGTACACGATTGTAAACGTCTGATAAGTACACTGCAACAAACTAGTCTGAAGTAGTTCACCACGAGCTTCGACATAGTAAGCAGTGACACCGTAACGAATACACAATACTGTAAAATTCTCGAAACCAAATTAGTTACTCACTGAGAACAAATGATATATCTACTCACATATTATACTCATTTTATGTAACTGAGATTGAAGTCGTTGTAAATGAATTGCAAAAATTTTTCATTTCTTGGGTATTCACAGTAAAGATTTAGAACGCTGTGTGAGATCCATTCAACTGAAATGGTCCAAATGCATCATTACAGTGTCCACGTTTTGAAAACCCAAATTATCATCTAACAGATCAAAGATGAAACATACTTTACGTTAAAGTGACAATTTGAATCATGTGGAATAGAAGAATTCAATATTACCAGATCACCTGAGAATTAATCTGAAGCGTTTTTGAGTTCACAGGTATTGCATCATCTCAAATAATCTGGTTAGTTTGAGAAACAACAACGATGATTGGAACAGATATAGTATACTCAAATCACTAACGCGTCGTTAACACTATTTTCATCTCTCTAATACAAAATGAACCGAGAATGTTTGGGATACATATGATCAAATGAATTGTAGTGTGAAACAGAGATTGAATGTCACCAATCTTACCAACTCTTTAGGATTCAGATGTACCAAATGGTTATGTTTTCCATAAATACAGTTTACCTCATTGTTATTCACTACTCTGATTTTCATTACTCCTTTGTCGAATATTTTACCACAGGTATAACAATTATTCACCATTCAGTTCATTCTCATTTATAGATTTTATTATCGATTCTCTCAATATCGCAAACTGACTGGAGATAATCGTTCAGACTGTTAAATATCGGATCAGAATATTAGAGGTTAGGCGCTTTACACAAAATCTGATATTCAAAATTCCAGCTATCAGTGAGGTCATAGGAAAACACCATTGAGACGTCTCATAGTTGAACAAAACAGCGGTTCAACGCTCTCCAGTTTCGAATGGATGTTTATCTCAAATCAGTGTGTAAAGTAGAGTGTAAAACAGTATCAATCGCCGTCCTTAATCTACTTTATTGAAATCACATAATAATATTATCTTTTATCTGAAAGCCTAATCATTCACCTACTTGTGTGCGTGTGTGTGGCACTAGTAACCACATGTTAGTTTTATTCAATTACTGTTGTCATTATTTACTAATCTTGTCATGAATTAATGTTTCACACGTTCACTCTATCCAATCCTCTGACCTTCGTATTCCACTCAAAACAGCCATTATAAATCTGATCGTATACATGATAACCGGATTACATGGTACTCGTATTCTCAAAGTAAAATGGAAGTATAATAGTAAACATGTATATGATCGGTTGAAGAGGCGAAATATTCTAATCTTGAGGTACGTTATTCAAATTTTTAGTGTTTGATTGGTGTTTCATTGGCTTTTTGAAATCTACCTCCAAACCATGGATTCACACTGATATGTAAATTGACAGTAATAGAAATATTTAAATATAACAAATCGTTGCGATCCACAAATCGTATAATCTCTGTAAACAAAAAGGTCACCAGTATTCAATGAAGTTCTTTACTCGGATTAGAGAATGGTAGTGCAACACTGAATATATACCGATTTTGGAAATGTGAACTTTCAGAAGCCAACCTCGTTTTCACAGTTGCTGGGACTTGATATGATGCTTGACATGATCATAGTTGAACACTGTTCTGGAGTTCCATACTAGGACAAGTAATGTGGAATAATCTCCAATCCCTCACAGTTGTTTAACTGAATCTAATCTTTGACGATACTTTACCAGTTGAACAACCTCTACACATGTATAGGAAACATTGTTTGAGTATTTGATTTTCCTCAGTATTTATGATGATTATTTATCAAAGCGATTCTCGCCCGATGCATCAAAATATATGAAGCAAGTATTCACCTCATAACACAGAAACTTCAAATATCCGACTGCGTGAAAGTGGTCAACAAAATGTTTCAGTAATACAAATGATGTGAACGTTGATTCTGCCAACTCATATACATGGAATTAGGGAGGAATATTGGATATTTTATATGAATTGAGTTATGGAAACATTAGGAAATTTAGTTGGCTAGTACTTGATCAACAAATCAGCAGTTTCTAGTCGATATTGATGTGCAGAATGGTAAATGGTAGTTAACTTGTAGTGCTTTAACAAAGATAGAAGTTCAGCAATATTGCACGCACCAACAATGAATGGAAATTGTACGGCTAAGTCGTGCAGGATTGGTCACCCTTTATAAATCCACGCTCATGTTTCCATCAAATATATTATTCACATCCCAGCTCATTTGTGTTTTTCAGAAATGCTAGACGTCATATTGCTGTTAGTCACGATCGGACGAGTCAGTGTAGACAATGAAGAGGCTTCCACGTAGAATCATATAGATTGCGTGGTAACGTCAAAACAAATCGACAATTCTGGAACTGGTTTAATACTATCGTGGTATTCATATCGAAACAGACCATAAATCTACAGATTTATTGAAATACCGACGATTCAGGTTTCGGTTTTTGGTACTGCGTTCGGGTCCCACGTTCTAAGTAACATCTAGTTATGAAAATGTATTGAGTGAATCACTTGAAGTTTGATAATTTATTTCCATACATATTGAAGGCTGTCGATAACATTTAAATATGAATCTTTAATCAAAGATGTTATCAATTCACTTGATTTAAGTTTTTATTAAACTTGTAAAACATTATATATAGACACTTCAATTGATGCGGATAAAGCCGACATAAGATTTAGCTGATTGGATAGTTTGGTTACCGGTGTAATTGAAGTCTACGAGATCAATTCAAAGTTATCAATATGACTGGAGAAACGTTGAGTGTGTGTAATGTATTCATGCCAGACGACAGGCTTATTATTGGACGAGTTATAAAGAACACATTACACATGTGGAAGAACAATAAAGATCAACAAAATACGCCGAAATCAAAATCTAATGAGATTTGCACAATGCGAAAGTAAGTACCTAACACGGGATAACAGGAGTTTATGAAATAGTGGAAAGGTAAAATTGAAAGCAAAAGTTACGTGAATCACGATTGTGTTCTGAGATAACACATACACATGGAGCACTTAAATCAGCTTGAACTATTTAGACACTTAGATAAAAACCAGTCAAATAACCAACCATATCCCGATCCATTGAACCTGAGTAGCATATATCAGGCGATTTCTTATTATTCTGATAGTCGCTCTGTCCAAACACTTGTTACGGATGTGCAAGTTTGCTGATAAAATAATCCACTTTAATTGAAGTGGAGAACAGGTTATTGCAATGATAGTTTCATCGAGAACTGGAATCTACAGAATCGTCGGACACTCTACATCAGCTCAAAATTTTGGCATCTCCATCATATGGTGAGTTCGTCATTTGAGACCAATTCGGTAAAATATAACAGTCTAAACGTTACGTTTTAACTGATTTACGACATCAAGTGACGGTCACTATCTTTCATTAGTGGAAAAATATCTAAGTATTAAAAATGTACTCAGTTGTGTCTTACTTCGCGATAGTTTACTCGAGTTTTAGTGAGAAACAACGACCAGATTAATGCAATTATGTTGAAAATGAGGCAGTCGTAACAAATAAATTGCACTCTGTTTCGACAGTTGTACATTAGATTAATGAATAGTTAGCAGCAGACTGATATAAACATACCATTGACACAACGATAATAAAAAGTGTTCATAGTAACTTCTAGCTGGAAGTAGTCTTCATTAACTAACTAGTGAGTAGCGGTCAACGTCATGCTTGTCTAGTCTTCTTAGTGTTGATGGAGTTGCGTCTATCAAATCTTGCTTTATCAACGAGATTTAGTGACTCGAAATTGTATGCGCTAATTATAACGTAGGTTGCTGAATTTGGAGTAGAGTCAATTAGACTAGTGGTCACAATGGTGAAATACAATCAGCGTTAAGGAGGTAACAAGCATCAAAATCGTGCCTACTTAATGGTCAGTCAGTGTGAATATGTCAGTCTTTTGGAGAACAAGTTGTTAAATTACTAAATGATTTTAGGTAGAACATCACTGAACACTTGGATGCACTGGGAGGCTGTTTCATCCCAATATGAGAAGATATAGCATTTCGAACACATTATTCATAATGGAACAATTCAGCAAGGCTATCTGAATGATACTTGTATATGATAAAAACGATTTCCTATATGATAGTAGGTACTTTCCATTTCGTTATTGGTTGTAACTTCACATATTGTCATCTGATATTACCTAATCATTAATTTGGTCTAATTAGTGATGCAAATTCAAAGTGTATGTAAACATTTCGACCTGGTCCGAAACAAATCTCTTGTTACTTGAAGAACTCGGTCAACTGACTTCCTTCACATCTCACTTATTACCGATTTTCTGGAATTTAAGATCACACAAATAGAAAACAATATTGGAGTAAGAAAGAATGAAAATGATGAATAAATTGCAATGATTATTTGACAGAATCGTTCATTCAAACTCAAAACAGTTATACAACTGACATTTACTAGCTTTACATATACAGTTTCAATGCTTATTCAATAATAGTAGGTAGTTGGTTTGAGTTTGTGTGCTCTGATGTAGTATATTTCAATTGAACCTGGACCGAATTCGTTTTTCGGAGCATTGTGATCAACGTATGCTTGTATCCTGAGACGAGTTACTTGTCTTAAAAATGAATGCAGTGAATCAAAATACTGTGCTGCTCGAAAGTTTGCTTTAAATGTACCAAATGTTAATGTTACTTGTTGTCGTCCTCCATTAATCTAGAATAAATTCATAGAAAACAGATTGTAATTATTCTACAAATTTGAAGATCACATTACCTGGAAATTCGTCTCGTATGATTGACATTCGAATGTTTTCGAACATTTGCCATAGATGGTGAATTTGAATTTAGAAATGTTACCCTTTCCATTTACATCAATCTCAAAACCCGAATATTCTGACAAATTCCAAGTATCCACTATGTATTTGACACCAGCGGAACCAGATCCATCTGGTCGTGGATGGATTGGGTAGAAGAAGATTGATGATTGATTATCCTAAATATATTTTTCATTTTAATTCGACGTCAATGTAACTTACATATGTAACATGTTGTACAAGTGTGGCATCAGATCGTCCTTCAACTCGAATTGTATTTGATACTTCATACCATTCGCCAGGTTTATTTTGAGGATCTGCGAAATTAAATAACACTGGACCAGTCGATCTATTTGATCGATTTATGTACTTCAATACTGGTTGTTTAATTACATTGAATGTTGTCATTCCTAAGCCAATAGTAAATGAAGCTGTAAAATTTGGGTTTATATGAGCAGCATTTGAAGCGTGAAGTGAAAGAATCATAAACGTGGTTGCAGAAAGAATGTTGATATTCATGATGTTGGACAAAGTAAATTGACTAATCTTTCAATGTACTGATGATTGTAATCTAAATGACTATCTGAAAAGTGGAAAGAAACCTATTTCAGTTCCCATTCAAATAAGATTTTGATAATAATTGACTTAGATTACCGTAGGACATTTTATGGAGATTGTAGAATTTCATAGTTCACATTACTGACTGATTTCATGTTAGTTTGATAAAGATATGTGTCTTAGATAATCAAAGTTAGCAACAGATATTTCTGGACCACTTCTGTTGGTGAAGTTTTACAATCTCATCAATCAACTTAACCACTCTACAGAAATGCTTATGTTTAATATCATTGGGCATCATTTGTCGCATGCAATCGAAGGCGGCCCGTATGAACATCTGGGTTACGTGTTCCTGCCATCTAGATACTTCAACAAGTGATCTAATTTTGCTTGTTTTAATACATCAACATGGCTATTAATCTCATCACCTATTCATATGCGTTTCTGGAAAGTGTAAGAATTTTCGTTGTACTAGTTACAGCGGCGAAGTCAGAGATGTCGTGATTGCTGGCAATATACATAGAAAAGAATGTAGATTATTTAGATGTCGACTGAGTCTGCTTATGTTAATAATGATAATCCCAACATGGTGTTAGTTGAATAAGCTCTATATATAAAATTTACACTTGCAGTATGTGGTACGAGTGTAGCTATAGATCACCCTTCAGCTCGAAATGTATCTGACATTTCAACACATACATCATATGCAGTTGTTCCAGGATCAGTGAAATTGAATAGAGTTAAACTGACTAAATCATCTAGCTGCATGAGGGTGGCTCGTGTTGAATCTTCATTGAAACCAGATGTCATTATATTATCGCTTGTAGTCAATGATTGTGTGTCATCAGTTTTTGATGAGTTTCTTTCTACAGTGTTGTAAGTGCTGGACAACAGAGTTGTAAATATTAAAATAACAGCTTTCATTCTAAGGTGAAACAGTCCAAAATTCAATCGAAATATTTATCTGTGAGATAGAAAAGAATTGTAATTAAAGTTCACTTAAAAAGAGTGTTATCAGTATAGCATGAGATGATCGCGCCAAAATTTGTAATAAATGGACTTATACATTGACAACTTTGAGTATCGGATCAATTGTCTACAGATGAGGCGTTCGAGGACGATCGATGTTACTGGGTTCAGGTTCGATGTGTAGGATCGTGTATGGGTATTGCTGAGTAGTCCAGTACAGGACGGAATGGCTTCCAGGTTCTTCCACATTTTCAATGTTTGTTCGACTTTGATGGGCTCATTATTTCAATATGTAAGAATTGACAGACATCAACGATTTATTTTCTTATCCCTTGTGCATGTATTCTTAAGTTTGCCGAAACTCGAGAAATGCACAATTTCAAGAATATGCTTTACGAATGTAAAGACAGTGTTTCTTAGTACTGTACATTTCATGTCAGTGTTTCTCGTTGCCGTCGTGATATAAGTTGAACAAGAGCATACTTTGCAAATGCATGTCACTCAGTAATGGATCACATTCATTCCATAAATCGTATACACGATGAATGCATTCTGATGTTAATTGGTTTGGGTGAATCGGTGTTGAATGCAGCTCACCCAAGGTTTCGCGCAACTTGACAATCCTCAAAAAGGCTTACCTGCAGGAGAAATGATGAATTGAGGCGGATCCGAATTTCAACCACAAGGCCCCCACTTGAATGTGTCAACACTGATCGATTTGGGTAGTAACTAGTTCCCCAAGTGACTGAGATAATCACACACATACATCATTGAGTAGGTCTAATTTCATGTTCGTTCAGTCCTGAATGCTGATTCTACATTATAACCCGTCACATAATAAACATTTTGGCTAACAGGAACAAATATCACATCTTCGACTTTCCTCCAATCACATTGATAACTTTGGAATCATCTCGTAAACTTTATTGACAACCGTAGACAAACAATCCAGTTAGCTCAATATTATGTTGACTTTATCTGCACCAACAGTAGTGTATATATATAATGATTAATAGAAACCTAAATGAAGTTATTTGGTCACATCTATGTGAGAAATTTCATACTAAAGTATTAATGCCAGCCTTTGATATGTATTGAAATAACTAACCAACCCTGGAGGAATTCACTCAATTGATTTTTATAACCAGATCTTACTTGGATTGCGTGAAACAAATGGGAGCAATGGGATAGTGAAAACGGTACTCAGTACCAAATACTGTCATCTGAACCGTCAGTATTTCGATAAATCTGTAGAATTACGGTCTAGTTCGACATTAGTACCACGATAGTAATCAAAATCAATCCCAACATTGTCGATTTGTCATGACGTGACTACCTAATCTAAATGGTTTTACGTGGAAGTCTCTACATTATCTACACTGATCCGTTCGATCGTGATCATCAGCAATATGATGTCTAACGTTTTTGAAGAACACATTTGAGCTGGGATGATAAAAATATATTTGGTGTACACATAAGCAAGGAGTTATGAGTACTGACCATTTGTTGAATAAGCAACCATTGCAATTTCGATTCATTGTTGCTGAGTACATTATAACTGAGCTTCTCTCCATTTCGGTAGTTCAAAATGAATTATCTCATTTACCTCATGTTCATCTTCGTCCTTCGTATTGTAAGGAACATCACCATTACGAACTAACTACCATTTACCATTTAGTACATCGATATTAACTAAAAACTACTGATTTATTGACCAAATACTAGTCAAACCAATTTCCACACTATTCTACTACTCAATTCAGATAATATGTTAAATGTTCATCTTAAATTCCACGTATATGAATTGACAAGATCAACGTTCCTATCATTTGCCTTATTGAACTCTTTTATTGGCCTATTTCACTTGGTCGAATATTTGAAGTTTTTGTATCATGAGGTTAATACTGACACAACTTTGTATAATACATCGAGTGAATTGCTGAAAATTACATTGCTAAACTATCATCATAAATACTGAAGAAAATCTATTATTCATACAATATTTGTTGTATATATGTAGAGACTGTTCAACTGGTAACGTATCGCCAAAGATTGGATTCAGTTTAACAACTGCGGTAGATTAACGGTCAGAGTATATTTCTTGTTGTCTTGATGAAAAACTCCAGAAGAGTATTTAGTCGTGATCACGGCTCTTGGATCACAATGGTTTGTTATATTTAACTGTCCACATTACTGACAAATTATACGTCAATGTGAGTCCATGGTTTAGAGGTCAATTTCAAAACGCTAATGAAACATTATTTGAATGATAAACCTTTGAATTACTTACCTTCACAGCAGAATATTTCGTCTTTTCAACAGATCACTTACACGTTTGCTTTTATACTTTGATTTTACAATACGATTGTGAGTTTCATCCAATCATGTGATCATGAATACGATCAGATTCATAATGGCTGTTGAGAGTGGAATAAGAACATCAGCGGATTACATAGAGTGGACGTGTGAATTATTAATGCATGACAGAATTAAGAAATAATACCAATGGTAAGCTTAATAAAACGTAAATGTGTTTACTAGGTGCACAAACGAGTTGATGAATGATTAGTTGTCAGATAATTGGTAATATTAAGTTGTGATTTAATTAAAATATAACAACGACAGCAATTGTTACCTTCTTATCTTTTACATTTTAGTCTAATCTGAAGTAAATATCCACCCAATCGTTCACCTTCTTGATTTAATGTAAGAAAACAGTAACAAATAAGAAATATGGAATTGGAATAGTTGTTAGATATCAATACCAAAGTTGGCATTTAAAGTTTCACATAAAATGACTATTATGTAGAGAGTTTATAATAACTAATAGTATTTGTTATATTTTGAAGAGTATGAGAGTCGCATTTCTGACGATTCATGACTGAATGTAAGCGAATTCTTCAGAGTAAATAAATAACCGACCTCTTCTTGAACTTAAGATCATACAAATAGGGAATTATATTGAAGTAGGAAAGAATGAAACTTATGCAAGAATTCCAATGATTTTTTGACAGAATCGTTCATTCAAACTCAAAATATTTATACGACTAACATTTACTAGCTTTACAAAAAGAGTTTCAATTTCATTACACTAATAGAAGCCTGTTGTGTCGAGTTTGAGTACTTTGATGTAGTATAATTCGACTGAACATGGACCAAATTGCTTTACCACAGCGTTGCGTTCACCATTTGCTTGTATACCTAATCGAGATACTTGAGTTAAATCTGAAAGCGTTGAATCAGATTTCAGTTTTGCCCGAAAGTATGCTTTAAATGTACGAAATTATGTCTCTTGAGTTGTGACAGAAAACGCATTCGATTATTTCACATATTTGAATAATATATTATCTTGAACAACGACTCATATGATTAACGAGCTAGTGTATCCGAACATTTGCCGCAGAAGATCAACTTGATATACGATATTTGACTCTATCTATGTAGATCAGTTACAAAATCTGCATATTCTGACAGATGCCATATATCCAATATGTGGTCGACACAGTTGTTCTATTTCCAGCTAATAGAATTCACATATACATAAACTGACTACTGTGTCATACTCATTTCATTATTTTCACGATTCCAGTGCTTTTTAGGTCTTAATAATTAAATATTTTATACAGTTGAAATCATGAGTCGACTGGAGCTAGACCATCATTATCAGAAAGGGGAATTTGTGTAGATTTTGGTAGTTTTATTGGGATCAGCAAAGTTCCGGACATGCTTGGTCTCCTAAATGAACTCGATGTAGAGACGAAGCTCTTAACTGTTAAGTGAATGAATAAAGATCATTCATCGAAGATCATAAACCGCTGGAAAAGCTGAAAAAAGATTAGACCTATGACGCTTCTGTGACCCAATCAGTGAGTTTATATTATGTTACCACATATGAGTGACTCAAATAATCTCATGTTGAAACGCAAACTGAAATTATCCATCAGGAGTACATTTTGTGCAGCTCAATTTGTCATTATTGAAAAGACAAGGTCTGCGTTTCACCAAAAAACCCAAACAGCACATAAGCGATTGTGTCTCATCCCATTGTGTCTATCACTTTACATGTATGTGTGGAAACACGTACAGAGAGAGGATCAATCGTGATCTGCAATTAAGGGTGGCTTCAATCTATCCGCAACCCAGGGTGGATTACCGAAAGACTTAAAGAATGCTATGGTAAGTCCTATCTTCAAAATAGTTATGAGACATAAGCCTGAGACCCATTGATCTGTAGGCCTAACCAGCGTGGTTGTTGAAACTTTAGAAAAGATTCTTCTGAAGCAGTTGTTTAACTAGCTTGAATAAAACCGAATTCTTTTTGAAATAACAGGTCAATCCTGTCTCACAGACTATTCAGTAGCTCACCAAGGTTGATGCACTCTTAAATATCAAAATTTGTTCAGAGATTCAGCCCACATTGACTACAGCAAATCCTTCGACAAAGTGCCCCACAACCGTCTGTCAAATAAGTTGAGTAATATTGGGGTTGGAGACAACCAATTATTGTGGTGAAAGGACGTTCTAGTTGTGTGCCAACAATGAGTATGGGTCAAGTCAAATTTGTCTAGCTGGGAAACTGTGCTGTGCAAGGTGGCTCAGAATACAGTTTTAAGACCTGTGTTTTACTTTATGTATTTGAATAACCTTCTCAGTCTCTCAGCATCGTCGGTCTTGTTATATGCTGACGAAGTCAAGATGTGGAGAGCGATAAAAAAGGAAGAACAGTGCGTTTGGGTAACTTTGTCTCATCGTTGAAACCATTAAGTATGAGTGTGTAGTTTTTGCTCTTTCTACTGAACTGAAATGTTATTCAGTAGAATCAGTGAGCATATGTTCGAATAAATTTACAGCGAATTAAAATCCGTTACATCAACGATTTCAGAAATGATCTCAAACATCCATATTTGTCTACGAACAATATTTAAGTGTTGCCTCGAATATTTGGATTATAGTCT